CTGGGAGAGGAGTTCATCCACATGATCAATGGCAAAAAAAAAAAAAAAAAAAAACAAACAAAAAAAAAACAGGTGATCAATTCTCAATACATCAAAACCCTAGGACTATATCATCAAACATTCTAGGAATAAATCAAAAGAGGAAAAAAAACATAATTACTGACATTTTGTAATAAGGCATAATCATCTTCCACTCTATTCTTCAAAAACATCTTGGCCAATCTTAGCCCTTTTTATTTCTAGAATTTCTAAATCTTAGAATGAGCTTGTCAATTCCACAAAAAGGCGGTTTAGTTATGGTTGCTGCTATACTAAATGTAGACCAAATCCAGAACCGGTATCTTGGTTGGGTGTGGTGGCTCCTGCCTGTAACCCCAGGACTTGGGGAGTTTGACGCAGGTTGATCAACTGAGTCCAGGAGTTTGAGACCAGCCTGGGCAACATGGTGAAACTCCACCTCCACTAAACAAACATATATAAAAAAGGAGCTGGGCATAGTGGTGTGCACCTGAGCCTGGGAATTCCAGGCTACAGTGAGCTGAGATTGTGCCACTTCACTCCAGCCTGGGCAATGGCAGTGAGATTCTGTTTCAAAAGAAAAAACTAAAAACTGATACCTTTTTGCACTACGAATATGGTCTAACGCTCCATTTATGTAGGTCTTTATTTTGCTCAATAGTGTCTCAATATTTTGCAGGAAAATCATGTATTTTTTAAGTCCCTAGATGATACAGAGTATCAATTTTTTCACTATCTTTTTGTTGCAGGTGTATTTATTTCTCATTCTTATTATTCCAAGAGTTTCAGGCAATTTGAATTAGGGAGAAAATAATTTCTTAAGAGGGTCTTTAAAATTGTATTTGAGAGGGAACAGAGACAAAGGAAAAATAAGGGTAGTCAAGTTTAAGATGAAAGGAGTGAAAAAACTAGAAATATGCAAATGATAAAATCCTAAGAACTTGCTAGCTATAGATCAAAAAGTTGGCTCTACATTTTCTAGTCACCCACTGTGGTTTTTCTGCTTTAACCAACAAAGTGTTTAACTTTAGAACAGAGTAAACATTAGTCTTCTATGACATAACGGTTTATGTGCAGACAGAAACTATGTTAAAAACAAAACTATAAAATGTACATAGATTCAATGGCTAAAATTAGAACAAACATTAGTCTTCTATGACATAATGGTTTATGTGCACACAGAAACTATGTTAAAAACAAAAAACTATAAAATGTACATAGATTCAATGGCTAAAATTACATCATGAGTTTATGGTGTCAATTTTTCTCAGCCCACTACTCAGAACTCACCTTTCCACTGAATCGTCTGGCTGTCTGACAAAGAATTGATACAATTCAAATGGAGATGTCTTATCTCTGTTTAGCCAAACAGCGTTGCCAGCAGACTTTCCCAGCTTTGCTCCAGTTGTACTTGTAATTAGAGGAACAGTGATTCCAAATACATCTTCTCCAGTCAACCTATGCATAAAGAACAACTTCATTATGTGCCTCAAGCTCAAGTGGTGGTAGTTTACCACCACTGTTTACCCTCCAGATTTCTTTTTGCTTACTTGCTCCAGGAAAACTTCCTTGACCTCCTAAATCTGAATTCTTGTCCCTCTCATGTGCTATTACAGTACTCACCATATTCATTCTGAATGCAATGAGTGGTACCAGGCAGGTTCTAGGCAGGCCAAAGGGAAGTGCTACGTAACAATGGACTACAGATTTTGAAAGGCTGAGTGGAAAGGGGAGAACTGGGTGAAGGGGTGTCAGGAAGAGACACTAAAGGAAATGTTCTAAACGGCTTTAAACATGTGTTTTGCTCTGTAGCACATGAGCTAGCCTTATATGTCATCTCTCTCAAGACAATGCTATTAGACCCACATTACTTGTCAAATATTTAGAGCTGAAAAAGTTTTTTGAGATACCAACCAAGGGCTAACACTAGTTTCATGGAGGGTGCAGAGCTAACGCAGAGGCTGGCTACTCAAGGTCCAGTCACGTTCTGGTGTAAACATACAAAAGCAGTTTATCTAATTAGAGAGGACGACTTACAGAAAGCAAAACAGACCGACCCTGACCAAATAAATCTTGACTAGTGGTCTGTTTCCTGCAGAGCTCTAGAATACACTGTTGTTGATTGAGATGGAGTCTCCCTCTGTTGTCCAGGCTGGAGTGCACTGGCGCGATCTCGGCTCACTGCAACCCCCGCCTCCCAGTTTCAAGCGATTTTCCTACCTCAGCCTCCCAAGTAGCTGGGATTACAGGGGTGCGTCACCACACCCAGCTAATTTTTAGCATGCACCGTTTACTCTTAATATCCTTAATTCAGCCCTTAATGTCCTTAATAGCCCTTAATATCCTTAATACAAACTAATTTGTATCAGCCAGCGTTATCAATGCCATTACAGAGCCTTAATGGGGATAAAACCAACAAGAGCTGGAATGAAGGGCAGCAACCTACAATTCTAAGAGTGAAACACAGGCTACTAGTGTGTAAATTATTTGGTCCCAAGATTTCCCCAGGTTCTAAAGGCACTTACTTGTGGATGAACTCATATCCGGACATGATGTTGCCCAGCTGATCAGATCCGCCCAGCTGGACCCTGCATCCATAACGCTGGAAGAGGTAATAGAAGTCATAGGCCTGGAGCACCTGGTAAAAGAACTCGGCCAAGCTCATGCCCTCGGGGCTCTTGAGCCGCATCTGCACGCTCTGCCGGCTCAGTAGCGTCCCCATGCGGAAGTGACCCCCTACTGCCGCCAGGAAGTCCACCAGGTGCTGCTTCTGGTACCAGACCGAGTTGTCCAGCACGGTGAAGCTGCCCCAGGAGCGCCCATCAGAGAAAAGCTGCTGGTGATTTGCCGCTAGGGCCTCAAGCCCTAAGCGCAGGGCGCGCGCGTTGGCTTGCACACTCTCTGTCTCCAGCGCCTCGCGCTCCTTGGTACGGCCGCTCGGGTCTCCCAGGCGCGCCGTGGCGCCTCCCACCAGCGCGATCACGTTGTGGCCCGCTCGCTGCAAATGAAACAGGCCTAGCAGCGCTAGGAGGTGACCCACATGAAGCGAGTCGGCCGTGGGGTCGAAACCACAGTAAATGGTTTGGGGAAAACTTGCCGTGCCACGGTCAAAGAGCTCTGGGAGCTCTATTTTCGTCCCCCTCTCCGGGAAGAAGTCCTTGAACAGACCCCGAGCCTTCTGCGCTGCCAGTAACCCGTGAGCGCCCGAGTGGGCCTTACGTAGCCCCAGGGGCAAAAATCCTGAGAGATTTAGGGTACCAGACCACCGGACCCAGGAAAAGCACCGAAAAACGGGCGCCGCCATCTTGGTGGCGGCACGGAAGGAATGCTGGGATTGTAGACGCCCCGTCACACCCACCTGCTAACAGCTCCTAGGGAAGGCGCGTCAGTGTTTTTCTGCGCATGCCCGAGGCGGTTACGTAGTTACCGAGCTTGCGCTCTCAGCAACACAGTTCGGGCTCCAAGTGGCTATTACACCTCAGAGCCGCCTCACTAAGTTCCTTAAAGCTCAATTTCTTCATCCGCAGTGTGGATCTGCTTATGATAGTTCCTACCTCATAAGGCTGTTGTGAGACTTAAGAATTAAAGCCTTTGGCACCTAACGCTCCACAAATGTTAACGTATTTGAATTTCCACTTAAAAAGATTGTGATGCGCAAGTTGTTTGAAATCCTGGTTTCATGCAAAAAGCTGCTCACAGATGTTGAGAAAGGTTACGAATTGGTTTAACGTCAGGACAGTTAAGGAGTTGCTGCCGAGACGCAAGCAATTTCATAGTACTGATTCTCTAATTGCACGTCAGTCCCCAGTATTCATTAGCTTTTCCAGGAGGTGGCAGTCTTGTACAAGCTATAGCAAGAAAAAGTCCAATAAAGTACATGCATCAAGTCCTGTGATTTGTTTATTTTAAATACAGGTAACTAGGTTGGGACACAGCTTAGCATGAGTGGATTCAAATTAGTAATCACATCTCAATTAGTAATCACATCGTGCAGTGGGACAGGTGTTTTGAATACTGACCAGGGATGAGGTTCTTATTGGCAGCTGGCTGACAGGTGATCTAGCTTCAAAATCCCATGTTGGAGCCTGATTTGTAGGACCGCTTTCAAAACCATCTTAGAATTTTCTGGACTCTGAGTTGGAGGGAGACTGGTTTGCAGGAGGATTATTGGAGAGTGCTTATGAACAACATCTATAATGGAGTGAGGGAAGCCGGGCTGGGCAGAGGGAGAAAGTTGTTGAACTGTAAACAATTTGTAATAGAGGCCTCAGGCAATCCCATAAAGGCTTTGGAGCCGGGATTTCCTTTCTGAGTCGTCCTGAATTGAGGCCAGAGGGCAGACTTTAGACCCTCTTACTGACAGATCATTAAACGTGGATGTTTCCAGGGAGGAAGCAAAAGGCTGGGTAAGGCTTTTGGAGAGGTAGAGGTACACAAAAGGACTCCACCAACACTCCCAGCAGCTGGGGCATTGAGTGCCTTGATCCTGGGGCCAAGATCTGGACTATGTTCCAAAGCATTCCCTACAAGACTTTTCCATTTTTTAACTTTAAAAAGTCATCTGATGAAATGAAAACGTATTTTAATAATTAGTTCCTTTGCATGTATAATTATCTATCGGTGAATTAGTTTCTCATTGCCAAATAGTGACTTCAATAGGATTTTGAGATACTCATTCAATAGACTATTATACTCCCAACTGCTTAAGAAAATAGTGTGTTCTTTCACGTTATTATTCAAAATATCTTAAAATTTGCAATCATAACCTGTTGATCTGAAGTGTTTTTTAAAAAAGTGTCACTCTGGGCCGGGCACTGTGGTTCACTCCTGTAATCCCAGCACTTTGGGAGGCCAAGGCGGGTAGATCATGACGTCAGGAGATTGAGACCATCCTGGCATGAGCCACTTCAGAACAATTTGCAGTCATATGGTCCACCACTTTGATCAGGCCAGATTTCAGTAGGCATGGCAAGAAATTCTCCTGAGTACATGTAAGGAAACTCATGTCTGGGCCACTTGTCACCTGAAAGCCAAAAACTCAAGAGAAGAGCTTTAGTGAAAGGAAGGTAGCTTTATTCAAGAGGCCAGCAACCCCAGGGGAGGCAGTGAACTAGCATTCAAAGGCCACCTCTGGCTTCTAAGGGAAATTAGGAGAAATGATCAAAACATTTTTGTGAAACGTGTGCAGTCTCAGGTCGGCAGTAATCGCTGTTTTCTTGGTCAACATTTTGTGGCTTTCTGCAGATACCATCAGTCTATTCTTATCAGGTTAGTCAGCCCTTTCCCAGAGATGCTGGTCTGGGTATTTTCTTTTATCTCTGCTCAAGGTCCTATGTTCCTGAGGCTGATTTTAATGAATCATCTACAAATCCAAGCAAAGCAATAATTGTATTTAACATACACTAACATGGAATCAATACTGTCACATACACAGCAAATGGTGCTTTCTATTTAGTACCTAATACATAGGAATATTTGAACCTCTTTAGAGGAGAATCTCTCTTACTTGAGGTTTCTGGTGACATCCAGCTCTCTGGCTTTTAAAGATGTGTTAGTAATTTTATCCAGAAAGTAGGACTTCAGTTGGTGGTTTAATTACTTATTCACTTCAGAAAACCCTGCTTGTTACAACAGTATGTACCCATGTCAGGGTTACTTGATGACCTGTGCTTAATGGAGAAGAATTTTGTGGATGATGAAAAATAGAAAATTTCTACCTGGGATTAAAATTGATGATAAGTCTTTAAAAAATAGATTTGAGCTCTGCGTTGTCTCTTCTTAAGTTTAGTTGCATCTCATGAAGAGGTAGCAAAGTCTGATATAGAAGGTGGTGTCAGAGCAGGTGCTAGATGAGACTTGACAGTAGCTCAATGACAGCAACAATTTTGGAAAATACAGTCAGATCAATTACTCTTTTTTTTTTTTTGAGACAGAGTTTCACTTTTGTTGCCCAGTCTGGAGTACAGTGGCATGATCTTGGCTCACTGCAACCTCTGCCTCCCCTGTTCAAGCAATTCTCCTGCCTCAGCCTCCCAAGTAGCTGAGATTACAGGCATGTGCCACCACACCCGGCTAATTTTTTGTATTTTTAGTAGAGACAGGGTTTCTCCATGTTGGTCAGGCTGGTCTTGAACTCCTGACCTCAGGTGATCCGCCTGCCTCGGCCTCCCAAAGTGCTGGGATTACAGGTGTGAGCCACTGAGCCCAGCCAATTACCCTCTTTTTATAATTTGTGTTGGTATAATAGGGAAACCTAGTCTACGTCCCTTTACTGAGGTGGCTTTAATGCTTTTTGAGCTGATGGTCATCTTAACATCCAAAAATTTTTTGTAAGAGATTATAAAAAATGTTAAGATGCTGATAAGGATAATAAGACAGAGAAAAATGCTACTAGATATGCATTTCCTTTCTATATTAGAGTTTAGAGAAGGATACCTTAAGTTTCTTTCTTTCTTCCCTCCCTCCCTCCCTTCCTTCCTTCCTTCCTTCCTTCCTTCCTTCCTGCTGTTGTAGCCAGTGGAATAACCTAGAGGTCTCAGCATTGCCTTACCTTTATGTACCTGGTCCCATACCATATGGCTGGACAATATTTTGAGATATTTACGGGTTTAAAAATCTTTCATTTTCCACTTTTCATTCTAACTATCCATTTGTAGCAAGTTCTGTGTGCCAGTGCCTTGGGGAAGGTACATGTCAGGGAGGAATACAGAGTCATCCTGGAACTCTTTGTATGTTTGTTTGCACAAGTCAAAAGCCTAAGATACGATAAAAGTTTAAGGAAATAAGCTTAGAGAAGAGAAAGAGGTAGGATTCTTCAGTCTCAAAGAGTGCCCTTACCCCAAACCTGGGCAAGAGAGCCCTGGCTATGACCCTGGTTTGCCAGAGGAGCAAAGGGATGACTTCCTGTTACACTTCAGGCCTGGAGCTCCTGGCTTCACCTAAGGTTCCTCTGCTTCATCTGAGGCAGGGAAATCTCTGAATGCCAGCTGGATCTCAGACAACCATTGAAGGCTTCACCAACAAGGATGGCTAGAATGACCAGAACAGATTGGAAATTAGAGATATTATTTCCTGGGGCACATCAATCAATTTTTGGTAAAACCCTAGAGGGGGAAAGAGGCTAATAATGATGGAGAAACAATTTCTCACCATTCTAGTGAGTTAAGGACGTAGATGTTTGCTTATTCATTTAACAGATGTTTATTAGAATTATTTGATCTGTCAGGCACTGTTCTAATGGCTTAGAACATGTTCACGGACCAAAGAAAGATTCCTGTCCTCATGGAGATAATATTATTCTATGAAATTATTTTTCTCTGAGCAGTTTTATTCTTCACTTCCTCTTTCTTCATTTCTTCTTTCTGATTGGGCTCCTTTCGACCCCGAATTTTTGGAGCAGAAAGAGAGTGACTCCTAGGTGGTTGTTGAAGAACATGCACATTAGGAGGGGGCTGTGGGAGAGAAACATTTGTTTCAGAATATGATCAAGAGAAAGATATCCCTTGTCAGAGGGCGGGGATTGGGATGTAGAGTAGAATTCAAACAGCTCTTTGCTTTTCAGTGTGCAATTGTGTCTCCCTTCACTACTGCGGCAGTGAATTTTTCTCTTCGCAGAACCCTTTCCTCAACATCTACCCCTTCTGCTCTGAGCTTGGTGACAGCTGGCGCAGTCCCCCACCAGCATTTTCTTTCCCAGGCTAGGTTGTTAGGGCCATCCTTCAGCCATGATTGGCAAGCAACGCAATCTGCCCGGCTGTTGGCTAATGTGATGAGTGAAGCAGGCTTCCCTCTTAGAAACAGGATCTCGGTGACACTGTTGTGATTGCATTCTGAAAGCTTAGATCAAATGGACCATGCCTTCAGTGAAGATAATTTTGGAATTTTCCTATTTATCAAGTTACCTTAGTAATTTTCTGGTCCCTCTGACTGAGAGTACAAGTGAATCAATCAACCCATCATTGTCCCTCCATCCAGGCCAAGTGAATTTACATCTCCACTGGAGAAGAAACAAAGCAATAAGCAATCAATGTTTTGTAGAGCAATTCCATTTTGATTAAACTATTTTTGTCTTTTTTTTCAGTGTCTTCAATATGGACTTTATGTGCTTCTGTTGTAAGCACTGACTGGTTATCAAAATGAAAAACAAGTCTGGAAACATCGCACTCATTAATGTTCTGTAACATCATAATGGGAACAAATACCATGTATTTATGTAATGTAGGCAGAAAAGCCAAACATTACGTCCTTCATCCTCACAACCGTAACAAGATGTGGTTCTGAATGGTGGTCCAAAGACCACTGGATGAGGAGTCACAGACCTGAGCAGTTGTCTCAGCTTAACCTTGACTAGCTGTACCTCCTTAGATAAGTCATTTAACACACTA